TGATTTGGGACCTTCCTGGCCTCAGCTCTTCAAAGAGGCCTTTCCTCCCTATGTAGGCCACAAGTACTTTGGCTAGCGGTTTTGGCCCTGTCTTTCCACAATGGCAAACTTTGGAGCAAAGCTAGCTCTGCATGACATCTGAAGGGAGCAATTGTATGGATTTTCTAGCTCTTCTATTGTGCAGCACTAGGGCCCAGTCGAGCAAAATGGGTGCCCTCTAGCTCTTAGGTCTTGTATGCAGTTTCTGAAACTGACTGTTTTCCCATTAAAGCCAAGAATTTCCCAGACAGACCTAGTCTCACTAGAGCTCTCCTACAGAGCAAAGGGAACACCAGAGATGTGTGCACGTGGCTGGACATTTCCGTATTCAGAGTGGGGCGACTTCCTAGTAGCCCAGGCTCAGGGATAACTGCCTATAAGAAAGGAACTCGAAGAAGTGCTTTTCCAGGAGCCTGGTACAGGAAATTCGCAGGATGCGGGAAAAGCAAGCCTCCTTCGGGGAAGAAGAGACAGCAACCCGCGGTGTGTTTGTCTGCCTGTATTTGAAGTAAGAGAGTCACTGATAGAAGGAGACCTCCAGTTCTGCTCAGAGGACTGATGTTCCACACGCAGGCCCATGTATCTCCCGTTCCCTTTGAAATCCTAGGAAGGACATTCCAGGTTTAGAGCAGTACTCCCTTGAAGAAGCAAGCAAAGGGAGAATGTTTGGCATGCCTGGGTGTCATCCTCGGCTCAGCTCTTCAAAGGGGCCGTTCCTCTCTATGTAGGCCACAAGTAACTTTGGGTAGTGGCTTTTGCCCTGTCTTTCCACAATGACAAAAGTTGGACCAATGCTAGCTCTGCAACTGAAGGGAGCATTGTATGGATATTCAAGCTCTTCTATTATGCAGACTTTAGGGCCCAGTCAACCAAAATGGGTGCCTTGTAGCCCCTAGGTCCGGTATGCAGTTCCTGAAACTGGGTGTCTTACCGTTAAAGCCAAGAATTTTCTGGTCAGACTTAAGTCTCACTAGAGCTCTCCTACGGAGCAAAGGGAACGCCAGAGATGTGTGCACGTGGCTGGACTTTTCCATTTCAGTGTAGGGCGACTCCCTATTACCCCAAGCTCAGGGATAACTGCCCTTTTCAAAGGAAGGAACTCTAAGAAGCGCTTTGCTAGGAGCCTGGGACAGGAAATTCACAGGATGCAGGAAAAGCGAGTCTCCTTCGGGGGAGAAGAGACAGCAAGCTGTGGTGCGTTTGCCAGCCTCTATTTGAAGCAAGAGGTTTGCTGAGCAAACGGGAGAACTCCATCTCTGCTCAGAGGACCGAAGTTCTAGTGATATGGCCATGAAAATCCCGTTTCCTTTGCAATCCTTGCACAGTCATTCCTGGCTGAGAGCAGTACTGTCAATGAGGAAGCAAGCAGCGCGAGTGTGTTTGACATGATTAGGTGCCCGCCTGGGCTCAGCTCTTCAAAGGCGCTTTTCTCTCTAAGTAGGCCCCAAATCCCACTGGGGAAGGGCTTTGACCCTCTTCCTTCCACCCTGCCAATGAGTGGAACAAAGCTGATCCTGTGAGAGGTACGTAAAGAGCAGTTGGGCAGGTGTTCAAGCTCTTGCCAATCTGAACCACTTGAAGGCCCACTCGGGAGAATCAGTCGCCCTTGGGCCTCTATGTCAGGTATGCAGGTTAACAGACAGGGTGTGTTCCCATCAAAGCCCAGAAATTTCCATACCTAGGGGCTACAAAGCACAGGGGCTACAGCACACCACTATTGCTCTTATGAGCCCTAAAGGCTGCATACTAGCAGGAGCTTGAAAATCTATCCAGTTGCACCCGTCAGACGTCTCACAGAGCTAGCTTTGCTCCACCCTTTGTCAGTGTGGAAAGAAGAGGTCCAAAGCCCCTCCCCAAAGGGAGTTGGGTCCTCTTTCAAGAAGAATGCCCCTGTGAGGAGCTGAGCTCAGGAAGGCACCCAGTCATGCCAAATACTCTTCTGCTTCTTGCTTCTACATGGGCACTATTGCTATCAGCTAGGAATGTTGTTGCAAGGATCACAAAGGAAAGGGGTGTTACATGGCCCTGCATTTGAAACTTGGTCCTCTGAGCAGAACTGGAGTTACCTTTTGTATCAGCGACTTTCTTGCTTCAAATAGAGGCTAGCAAACACAGTGGCTTCTGTCTCTTCTTCCCCGAAGGAGGCTCGCTTTTCACGCATCCTGCAAATTTCCTGTCATAGCCTCCTCGAAAAGTGCATCTTAGATTTCCTTTCTAGGGTCAGCTATTCCTGAGCCTGGGGCAAGAGGGAGTAGCCCCACTTTCAAAAAGAAATGTACAGCCACGTCAACACATCTCTTGCATCCCCTTTACTCTGTAGGAGAGCTCTAGTGAGCCAAGGTCACGTACAGACCTCCAGTTAGGCCCAGAGGACCGAAGTTCCAGAGGTAAGGCCATGTATGTCCCCTTCCCTTGTGACCCTTGCAACAACATTTCTAGCTGATAGCAGTACTGCCTATAAAGAAGCAAGCAGCAGGAGAGTTTTGGCATGACTGGGTGCCTTCCTGGGATTAGCTCTTCAAAGGGGGCTTTTCTCTCCAAGTAGGCTCCAAGTCCCTCTGCGGAGGGGCTTTGGCCTTCTTCCTTCCACACTGCCAATAGGTGGAAAAAAGCTGGCTCTGTGAGAGGTACGAAGAGAGAAATCAGGTGTATTTTCAAGCTCTTGCTAGTCTGAACCACTTCTGGGTCCACTCGAGAGATTCAGTCGCCCTGGGGCCCCTAGGACAGGTATGCTGGTTAACAGACAGAGTGTGTTCCCAACAAAGCCCTGAATTTTCCAGAGAGAACTTGGCTCATTATAGCTCTCCTACAGAGCAAAGGAGATGCAAGAGATGTGTGGACGTGGCTGTACCTTTCCTTCTGAGAGTGGGGCTACTCCCTAGTAGCCCAGGCTCAGGGATAAGTGCCCTTAAGAAAGGAACTCTAAGAAGCACTTTTCCAGGAGGCTGGGACAGGAAATTTGCAGGATGCAGGAAAAGTGAGCCTCCTTTGGGGAAGAAGAGACAGCAAGCCACGGTGTGCTTGCCAGCCTCTGTTTGAAGCAAGAGGTTCGCTGATTCAATGGGAGACCTCCAGCTCTGCTCAGAGGACCGAAGTTCCAGAGGTTGGGCCGTGCATCTCCCATTCCCTTTGCAATCCTTGCAAAGATATTCCAAGCTGAGAGCAGTACTGCCAATGAAGAAGCAAGTAGAGGGAGTGTGTATGGCATGACTGGGTGCCTTCCTGGGCTCAGCTCTTCAAAGGGGCCTTTCCTCTCTATGTAGGCACACATCCCTCTGGGGAGGGGCTTTGCCCCTCTTCCTTGCACACTGCCAATGGGTGGAGCAAATCTAGCTCTGTCAGACGTCCAAAAAGAGCAATTGGATGGATATTCAAGCTTTTGCTAGTCTGCAGTGCTTCAGGGCCCACTCGAGCAACATGGGCGCCCTGTAGCCCCTAGGTCTGGTATGCAGTTTCACACACTGGGTGTTTTTCCATTAAAGCCAACAATTTTCCTGACAGAGCTGGGCTCACTAGAGCTCTCCAACAGAGCAAAGTGTACACAAGAGATGTGTGGAGGTGGCTCTACCTCTCCTTGCTATCCAAGGGACTCAAGAGCCTTCTCCAATACCACAGTTCAAAAGCACCAATATTTCGGTGCTCAGCTTTCTTCACAGTTCAACTCTCACATCCATACACAACCACTGGAAAAATCACAGCCTTGACTACAGGGACCTTTGTTGGCAAAGTAATGTCTCTGCTTTTTAATATGCTATCTAGGTTGGTCATAACTTTCCTTCCAAGGAGTAAGCGTCTTTTAATTTCATGGCTGCAATCACAATCTTCAGTGGAGCCCCCCAAAATAAAGTCTGACACTGTTTCCACTGTCTCCCCATCTATTTGCCATGAAGTGATGGGACCAGATGCCATGATCTTAGTTTTCTGAACATTGAGCTTTAAGCCAACTTTTTCACTCTCCTCTTTCACTTTCATCAAGAGCCTGCTTACTTCCTCTTCACTTTCTGCCATGAGAGTGATGTCATCTGCATATCTGAGGTTATTGATATTTATCCCCGCAATCTTGATTCCAGCTTGTGCTTCATCCAGCTCAGCGTTTCTCATGATGTACTCTGCATAGAAGTTAAATAAGCAGGGTGACAATATACAGCCTTGACGTACTCCTTTCCCGCTTTGGAACCAGTCCGTTGTTCCATGTCCAGTTCTAACTGTTACTTCTTGACCTGCATACAGGTTTCTCAGGAGGCAGGTCAGGTGGTCTGGTATTCCCATCTCTTGAAGAATATTCCAGAGTTTGTTGTGAATCCACACAGTCCAAGGCTTTGGCATAGTCAATAAAGCATTAGTAGATATTTTTCTGGAACTCTCTTGCTTTTTCAATGATCCAGTGGATGTTGGCAATTTGATCTCTGGTTCCTCTGCCTTTTCTAAAACCAGCTTGAACATCTGGAAGTTCATGGTTCATGTACTGTTGAAGCCTGGCTTGGAGAATTGTGAGCATTACTTTGCCAGTGAGATGGGTGCAACTGTGCAGTAAACCAGGCAAATCAACTGGAATGGAAAAGGGAGCCCAGTGATCTGGCTTTCACTGAAACTCGTTTTCCAGTCTAGGGCCACTGAATTTTCTTCGAATCTGTACTTGATTTTATGCCTCCAGCTGCTTCAAAGAAGACACATCTCTATCCATTATGTCCTTCTTTTATTACAATGTATTGATTAGAAAATATTAAAATATACAAAAAAAAAAGAAAAATCTTAAGTAAAAAATCAAGAAGTTTGGTGTGTATACTAATCTTTATTTAGATTAAAAATATGTAGTCTATAAAACCAATTTTAAAACTTTCTATACCTTTTAAAATCTATAAGCTATTATTTTTACCCCAGTTCTACAAAAGAAGCTTTCAGGCTATCAAGAGGAGCATGAGATAATGAAAGCAAGGTCATTCCATCTTCTAAGAATCCAATCAACAGCTTTCAGTCTTCTTCCTACAGAGGAAAAAGAATGATAATGAATTTCCAAGCAATCAGGTAGAACTTAAAAACCATCATTTCGTATCTACAATTAGAAAATTTTATCAAATAAGGGGAATATATCCTGATTTGGAAGCATTTTAATTAAAGATATTTATTAAGCATATCTACGATCACAATGGTATGAGGACAAACACCATTCTGATTCATAGATTTAGACCTGAGCTGTCAAATATGGTAGTCACTAACCACATGTGGTAACTTACACTCAAACTAAAGAGAAGTAAAATCAAAGATTCAGTTCCTGAGCTGCACTAATTACAATTCAAGCTGTTTAACATCCATGTGTGGTTACTTCACTGGACAACTCAGATACAGATTACTTGCATCACTGCAGAAAGTTTGATGAGATAGTTCCGGTTTGAGACATGAAAAGGTATTTTTTTTTTTAATTCATTTTAACAGTTTTACTTCCCATTAATTTTGGCTCTAAATACTTAAATATAAGCCACTAAAACAGTTATCCTCCTAAGAGTAGAAATTGATATCTGAGAAATTATTAGTGGTGAGAAGTCATACAGTTGCTGAAATACAGACCATTGTGTCCTTAAAAAAAAAAAGTCACACCTTTGATTTAAAAATTACCTTTATTTTTAAGCTTTCTTTGACAAACCATTCTTTTAATAATCAGAAGATATTTCTTTCTTTCTTTGCACAGCACACTATTAACAAATTTGTTAGAAAAAGCAAGTCTGCTCAATAGTAAAGTTTAAAAAGATAATTGTATGTTAAATTAGCCAGAATCTGTAAGGGAAAGAATCTGACATTCTATCAGGAAATAAATACATAATAAATTAGAGTCAAATATTTTGTCTTTAGGGCTATACTATTTCAACAATAAATGGCTTCTATATATATCAGTATCAATGCTTCCTGGTGGCTTGGTGGTAAAGAATCCACCTGCCAATCAATGCAGGAGATGCAGGTTTGATCCCTGGGTCAGGAAGACACCTGAAGAAGGAAACGGCAACCCACTCCAGTATTCTTGCCTGAAAAATCCCATGGACAAGGAGCCTGGCAGGCTATAATCAATGGGGTCACAAAGAGTTGGACATGACAGAGTGACTAAAAAGGCACATACATCACTAGACCCATGAGGAAGACTGGGTTACCATCTAACTTTTCCTACATGGTCAGGTTAACTTAGAGTGAGGCAGAAATAAAGGACTGACAAAAGTAATGCTCAACATGAATAAAGGATGGACACAGCAGTTTTATAATATGCTGGTCTGCTTCGTGAAGGACAGAAACACTGACAAGCCACCATCAGAGCTATGGTGGAACGGAGATCTCACTCATTTCTAGTTGCTTACTGTATCAGAGGATCCACAGAATTTGGAAAATAAACTGTAAATCTGAAAAAACTGTGAAGTAACAGCTATAAAATATACTGCTAAATGAGCATGAATTCTTTGATTTGAAAATTTACTACAACACGATTCCTCAACTTTGAAATTTCAAAACAAGTAATACTGCTTACACACTTGATTCAAAATAGGCTTTGTTTACCAAAGCAACAAGGACAGTTAATTTACCTTAACAGAAAATTTTGTTTAGTAAGAAAAACACTGGCACGTGCTTCCTTAAGCACTGGCAATCTATGATAGCCACCCAGTTCTCATTTTGTAAATAGTAGCAAAGCTCTTATCTCTTTAGATATTTGGATTTCACACAGTTACTCAAAAAATATGTCTATATTGATTTATTCAGTAAATCTATTCTGAGGGACTACTATGAGACAAACCTTGTATTTCATACTTTATCAAGCCTTGAAATATGTATTTCATATTTACTATGCCTTAGAATACTATTTATGGTCAAAATCAACAGACTTAGCATACTTACTGTCCAAGCTTAAAAATGAGAGAGGAAAATACTGACATTGCCTTTGTTATTCTGCTGCAAGAGCTTCCAAAATTAAAGGGGAAAACAGTATTCATGCTGTTGTGCCTGGTAATGTGCTAGGACTTAATCTCCACAAATTGAAGGACAACAGATGCAATCTGTTAAGGTTACATGACTTAAAATATTATAAACACAGAGATCCTATGTGTACCTGTATTATGAGGTAGTCTGAGAAACTAGGGTAGAAACATTAAAAGAATACTGCACTACTTTAACTGAGTTGGAGCTTCTACTATAAGATATCTTATGATATTGTAGAACTACAGTTTAATATTATAAGATGGTTCAAATCTGTTTTGGAAGAAGAGTGCAATAAATATGAATAGCTATACTTTGAATTCAAAAGGCAAAAAAAGTTAGGAATTAGTGTGGAAAATTTGGGAAAAAGATTTTCCTCTTTGATTTTCCCATTCTAATTCCTTTTTAAAACTCAATTTGGATTTATTTTATTGTTTTCCTAGGATTACATTCATATTAATTGGGGGGAGTGGTCAGGAAATACTACATAGGAATTATTGTGTCATGATTTCTAAAATGCTTTATCTTGAGTCCATATTTTCAACTCACAGGTGGGACTGCGTCACACTTAAAAATGACTGATATGCTTTAACACACAATGTGTTAATTTAAAGCAATGCTATGTAGAGTGAGGTGGTCTGCTATACTGGTGACCACCAATGAACCACCTCCTGGGTCAAGCTCTCATTCAGTTTCCTCTTTTTTCAATCTGGATTGGACCTGTGACTTGCTTTAACCAACAGAATGCAGTAGTAGTGATGTGCTAATTCCAAAGCCTAGGCTGCAGCCTAGCAAATTCTGTTTCTTACAATTTTGGGAGCCCTAAGCTAGCACAGAATGAGTCTGGCTCTGCCACTCCACAGGACGTGCAGACAGAGAGAGGCCCTAAGAGTGTGGGGACTGAAGCCCAGCCACGCTTCCAGGAGCCTCACCAACCAACCAGGTGAACACAACCACACAGTGACTACCAGCAAGAACAGCGGAAGAGATGCCCAGCTGAGCAAAGACCATGAGCAATAAAAGAGTTATAACAATCCTTCATGTTTCGGGGTTACAAAATACTTTGCTAAAAATGATGAAACAGTATGTTACAGCATTTTGCAGTGTGCTTCTGCTAACACATGTGCTTTGTTTATTAATTAAAAAATTATCATGAAACACAAAGAAACTGCTACATAAGTACAATCTAACACTTTTCAACAAAATATCAAGAAGCACAAAATCTCTAATTTTATTTAACAGAGATAGTCCTCAAGAGACTTATTAAAATATGCTTTCTATGATAAATCATTTATTGAATAAATAGAATAAATGAATTTGTTTCTCATTTATGGGTATTATTTTCACTTTTAAACACATCAAAAGACATAACATGAGCTATCTTTCTAAATAGAAAGGGCTTTTACATTTTCCAGCCAAAGAATTTTTCCCTTACCTGACTATAACACGTAAGGACTCCTGTTGCATAAATGGGGACATTAGCTTTAGTGAGGACCCCATTTCCTGCTGAGGAATCTAAAAATCACAAAAATAATTTTAAATATCTGAGTATGCTTTAAATGTAAAGCAAAAGGTCAAAGTCATAGTACAAATTATATTTTAAATTACAATTGGTTACAAGGCTTACAAATAAATGTTATCATTACTTTAAAAATACTTTGATCAAAACATATATATCCACTGGTGGTTGTGAAAATGCAACTGAATACTTTTCAGAGCCATTAGCATACACAATTTTGATAGACGGGAAAAACTTTAATGACCAAAATTAGATGCTATACTGTTATTTGCATAGTCATAAATCAGAGCTTTCTTTAACACTTTCCCAAGTGGCCGTATAAGCATGTTGTATGAATTTTCAGGCTTCTAATTTGCAGTATTCAGTAAAACATCAAGGTATTCAGCTGAAAGGAGACACCTAGATATATATTTAACCTGCTTCTAGACATCGAGATCTAGTTTCTAGTATTAGCCTAGTTCCAGAGCTCTTCCTGCATCCTGTACAGGGGTTTTTCAGAAGCCAGACAGAACCCTGACTATTTTCATGGAATAGGGAGGCTAAATACAGCTTGGGGAGAGGAGAAAGCATCCAACCACAGCTGAGTGTCCTGTGACGACTTTAAGACATCAGATTTTCTTATGCAGCATGTGTAGACGATTTTTTAAAAACAGGTCCAGAGATGATATGGCAGTTGTGATTTATAGCACCAACAGCTCTCACTTACTGATGTTAGGCATTATTTGAAGCACATTACATTTGCTTTTATGTACTCAAACTTTTAAAAATTACTTTTTTCTATTCTTACATGGCTTTAAATTCTTTTCAGAAAGTAGTACATACAGAATTCAGTTAAAGCATGTATCTAACCATCTTGAAGGTATTTTCACCAAAAAAGAATCTATTTTCATATCAATTACTATTTGAGGATTTTTTATTCTTTTGGCAAGAGTCATTTTATCTTTTGGGGAGTACTGATGTTGGCTGAGTGTGACTATGGTAGCTGAGAGGTAAATCTGAGGCTACAAACAAGCTGAGGTTGAATTCACACATATAGACTGTATATAATCACCTCATAACTAATAATTCTGAAAGCTATCATCATCAGAATAAATAATTAACTAAACAGATAATACCAATTTTTAATTCCAAGTAGTTAAACCATTAGAAAGCTATGAAATATAAACTTTAGGAAGCATTTGTCAAAAAAAAAAACAAAAACACAACTCACTGACATTTTCAAACTTAAAAGGAATCATTTATTCACTCTCTAATTACCTCTGAGAACAGACAAAAATGTAGTTTTCCAGATGACTCAAATCAAATCACTAAGGTAAGACTGAGATAAGAATTACCTATACATCCAAAACAGCCAAGTTAATATATAAATCACGGGGACTATACATTTTTGTCCTTAATATTTTTCACAGTTCATTCCTAGAAATTCATTCCTAAAAATACACAGGGACATAAGATCCACACATAAAGGAGTTCTTGGTGCTATAACCAGACTTCTTAAGACAGTAATTGAAAACTATGAACAGAGGGGCTGGAGCTGCCCATTAAAGCCTGTAGTTTCTTAAAAATCTCATGTTTCATTACAAAAAATATATGTATACCTTATATTCTATTCAGTTATACTTGTTTTAATTTTTAAAAGTTCTAAGTAAATAATTATGAATTACACGCTCTGTATTTTTTCCTTTTTAGTATTTCAATTGCACCACTTCAAACCTCCAAGGGTACAAGTAAAGTACACAGTCTGAGAAGGTCATGGTTAGGTCAATTTGATTACAGTGAAGGTAGATATTTACAATAAAACTGACAGAGATTAATCTTACTACTATTCCGTGGAAAGGATATTAGATGTAGCAGTGCTGTAAACCCAAGAACTCCATAGTATAAATTTTTCTTTTCAACTGTACTTGTTAATTTATTTATACAATTTGCATATAATGAACAAAGTATTTTTCTGGAGTAAAGAGACTTAATTGTTTGTAAAAATAATGATGCACAAAATCACCAATATTTTCTTCAGACAGCCTTAAAATCTCCTGGAACTGAGGTTTCACCTAAGCAACCGAAAGAAAAGATCCAGAAAGTCTCAGGTTCAACAGACCAGTCAATGTTTAAATAAAATGTTTCCTACCATTGCTACTACTACTGATTTTTAAAGATTCAAGTAGTCAAAAACACAACAGTTCTTAAAAGCCATAGGAAAAAAGAACGGTCAAGTTTCTGAAAACAACATCTTTTTAGAGATAAAATTTTTTAAAAATCAATTTAGGTCAGCAAGTTTTCTGAAGGACCTTAAGATTCCTTCACTAAATTAAAATCATTTCCAAGGTGACTTTAAGTGTTTGAAATTACTACCTCCCAAAACCAAACCTGATGATAGAAAGGATACTTAGGCAGATATTATATGATTAAAACTGCTGAAAGAAAATGTTGTGTATAAAAGGAATGAAAATGAAATTCGATTCATTAGGATATTCAGTGAGTAAGATACTCATTATGTTATATCCATTGGCTTAGTCTTTAACTTTTTTAAAATTTAATTTTAAACATGAAAGACAGAATTTAACATTAAAGTTTCAAGTTAGAGGGAATGCTTGTTTCAATTTTCATTTTTAACATCACAGATTTCAGGCCTCTGAAGTCAAACACTTAAGTGATAAAGTGAATTCCTAATTGCTTTTGTAAGAAAAAGTAAAATAAATAACAGTTACTTCTTCTGGAAATGTCAAACAGTTTTTGCCAATAGTGATTCCCAGTAAAGTCCAACTATACTTAATAATTAGATGTTAATGAATGATTTGGTTTCCCCTACAGTAACATTAAGCTCTGGTTCTTGCCCTCCTATCAATAGGTCAGGCATATTAAATTGCAAATTCCATTTAAACTGAGATGTAGACCACTGTGAAAAGATTAACCTACAGCATCAGATGTACAGGGTTAAATTTCATTTCACACATGAAAAGATTAAGTACAGATACATTAAATGATTGATTCAAGGATACAGAGTCATAACCCATTTTCTGAATTTTGTCAGTCCACTATACCAAACTGTCATGCTCTAAATGTTTCAAAAACTACAGGCTCAGTAAAGAGGTGCCACAATATTTTTACCTTTTAAATGTATTAACATATAGCAACTACATCTTTATAAGGTTTTGTTAATGCTCTAAGTAACTGGCTCAACAATCTGTTATGAAGACAAATGGATTGACAGGATTAAAGAAGAAAGTAGGACCTAAGGACTTTCCAATTTTAATGTTTAAACAACAAAATAACCTGGTTGGGCAAACGTGACAGTGATTGAAATATGCAGCATTTATCTCAAGTGTCCATTCTATTCCAAGAGCTTCTATCTTGTAGCAAGTATTCTACACAAGCTGCTTTGTTTCTATAATCACTGAAAGTGAAAGTCGCTCAGTTGTGTCCGACTGTTAGCGACTCCATAGACTACACAGTCCATGAAGTTCTCCAGGCCAGAATACTGGAGTGGGTAGCCTTTCCCTTCTCCAGGGGTCGAACCCAGATCTGCGGCACTGCAGGTAGATTCTCTACCAGCTGAGCCACAAGGGAAGTCCAAGAATACTGGAGTGGGTAGCCTATCCCTTCTCCAGAAGAGCTTCCCAACAGGAATCGAACTGGGGTCTCCTGCATCGCAGGTGGATTCTTTACCGACTGAGCTATCAGGGAAATCCACAATCACCTGAAGTTCTGACCAAAGCATATAGAGGAAATGGGGGCTTCCTGAATCTCTGGTAGATTCAGTACAAGAAGCACATTCAAGGAATTGCAGTGGAGTCCCCTAGCTGATACTTTCTCTGCTGGAAAGCTCTGAGACATCCACAGTGAGCAGACCTTATATTTAAATGTGGATACAGACTAAATTTTGGCTAAATCATTTTCTGAAAATCAATAAGGATATGAATATTACAGACCAGAATTTTCTTTTATGATCATAGTTTTCTAAGATATTAAAAGATAATTAGAATAAAGGAAGGGTTCCTGCTTTTACTTACTCTGCCATAGCATTAATTAACACATTACATGTTTATATGTCTTGCATATAAGAAAATATGAAATACAAGTTTTTACCTTAGTGTTTGTAAAAATTTGGCCAAATGTCCAGCAAAGGCGCCAGAAAAATCTGGAGAATTCATGGACACAGGCAGTTGAAGTGACATTAAATTTGCCAACTATTTCTATAAGCTGTGGTAACCTGAATAAGAAAGGAAAATCGGCAGGGGATACAAATAAATTACTGTTTCCTTGCCAATTTCTGAAACAATCCAAATCTAACAATCTCTTCTGCTTTTCACAGCCAGTAAAATTAGAATGCAAAGGAGTTGTTTGGGACCCTTTGAAAAAGTCTTAACTTCATATTCTGTAAACTTCTTACATTTTAACAGACTGTCATGAAATATATGGAACCTTAATGGCAGAGTTCTAAGTGTGGTGTTAATAAGACTTAAGTCAATGGAGGTGATACTTCATACAAAAGCTTGGCTCACATGGCACCATATATTTTAGCCTCAAAAATGAGAAGTCTGGATGTAGTTTACAATCCACCGCCACTTTTAGATACTAAGGGAGCAGGCAGGTCTTTCTGCAGTAATACAGATGCAGATAAGCACAGATAAGCAACTACATGTCTACAGGTATAAATCTCTCCTGAAGACAGTTACCACAGATGACACCAAGTTATGTTTTGTTATTTTTTTAAAAAAATTTCACTATATTTTGTCCCTCAGTTCCCAGGCTAAATATCGTGAGCTATTTTCCATTCAAGTAGCTGAGATGTACCCAATGAACATGGAGGTGGTAACTTACAGCTGACTGACAACCCACAGTAAACTCTCCCAGCCGGTTGTACCCTCGTGTTCCAGCTGGCAGTCATAAAGCTGTAGTAGCAATGCCAGTTGCTCACGACTTCCAATAATAGTAGATACATCTTGAAGAGGTGACACAGGCCGAGGGAACCCAGTCACTGTAAACATAGAGACGCAAAATAAGTCATGCAGAAAATGGCGGTTTGGAAAGTTAACTCTCTGATCAGAAGAAAAGTAAGGTTCTGCCTCCTAATATCTATTTAGCATATTCTAGACTTCAAATACAAAACTAAAATACATTAAATCACTTTCAGAAAAAAATGAAATGTAGTTGATACCTGCACAATTAGTGGTTAAACTAACTTATAGTCAGACCTTTTTGTCAGAGACTCCTCCACACCCAGAAATTCAACCAACCATGGACCAGGCAGTACTACAATATTAACTACGGAAAACTATCCATATATAAGTGGATGTATATACCTCAAACTCCTGTTGTCTAAGGGTCGGCTGTAAATTTCTCTTGCATGTTCTTAAGTTTAATGATTATCATTAAGCCATTCATATGCTTTGAGAAAATGCTGCATCCTTCATTGTGTCTTTTTAGGGTGTTAACCTCTATGCAGGAGCTGTTGAACCACTAGGAATTTCTCTTCAACAGTTAAGGAGTTTAACAAATTTAACAAATTTAACAAATCTCAAAAAATTAAGATTTTATGAGACTAAATATCTAGTAAACGAATACTGAAATGAAAGAGTTTGCCAGTAAAAAGCAAAACATTATTTATTTAAAACTTTGCTCCAAAATAAGATCTCAGTTAAAATATGGATTTGAATTTGGGTTAAAAAAAAAAAAAAGATAGCTGTAAATCCACCAGACTGCTTATGTTAATAAATAGTAACTACAATAAGATATTTCCTTCATGGAGTAAGAAACAAATAGGTTGACAGCAGGAAAAATTGTTTAATACCAGAGAATAACCTAAAATACACTAAAGCTTGAGTTGAACAGGATTCTTAAGTATTTAATCTCCAATATTAAATGCTTTATTTAGAAAGTTTTCCATAGTTTGATAAACATTAAGTTAATATAAAGTGTTAAAAGCAGTAAGATAAAGCTATATGTAATAATAATAATAAAAACATTATTATAAATATTATAACCAGGGTCTCAAATACAAACTTTAAAAGTTTTGGGGGAAAACTGAAAAAATTACTTTAAAAATTGTGTAAATAAATAACGAATATACATTAGTATATTTTCAAATTTGAACATATCAATAAAATGTATGATCCTACAGATTAGATTAAATTAGATTCCAGGTCTTAGCTGGCTCTTAAGTGAAGACTGCTACCAACAGCTCCTTAACTGCAGGCAGAAAGACCTGCCTGCTCCCTGCCTGTTCCAGATTCCTCTGTCCATGGAATTCTTTAGGCAAGAACACTGGAGTGCGTAGCCATTCCCTTCTCCAGGGAATCTTCTCAACCCAGGAATCAAACTCCAGTCTCCTGCATTGCAGGCGGATGGGGTCGCAAAGAGTCGGATATGACTGAGCAACTAATACACCATGGATAACTCAGTTGTAAAAGATAAGTAGTCGGAATGATAAGTTTGAGGTTTAGGAACCTCAAAGTATTATTCTATTTAAAACGAGTTTTAAAAATTTAATCATCTAACTTGTGAACATACAGAAAAGTCCTCAGAATGCCATTTCAATAGACTGACAAAAAGCTAGCATTTCATTGTCTAAAAATTACCAAAAGTAACCAAATCCAGCAAAATTAACAGCTGCTATGATTCTTTAATGTATTTCCTTCCCTCCAAAATGTCAGCTCTATGATGGCAGAGATTTTTGGCTGTTTTCTTTGTGAGTGCATCTGAAGTGTTCAAAATAGTACCTTGCATACATATTAGCTAGTGTTGTGGCATTTTTGTTATTTAAGAAAAAAACAAATAACTCTTCACTTGTAATAAATTGTATCCCAAATTATATAGATGTGCATAGAGACAGACATATAGACACAGGTATATAGACAGACCCTAAATACGGATATAGTATTTCCTCATGTATAGTAAATGTATTATAACCTACATGTGAGTATAATGACATTAACATTTACAGCTACTACTAAAAGTCAGACGGTCAAATTAAGTCAGTGACAGCTTAAGATTATTTTTGACATAATAAAGACATAATCACAAGGAAAGGCCACATAAACATCTGTTCAGAATGGTGAAGTAGTTTTGAAATTTTTCTGTCTAATCTCCAGCATGTGCTTGGCCATAGGTGACACTGAAGAATTATTGGCTAAGTGAATGAATGATAGCAAATGCTATGGGGTGAACTGTGTCTCCCTTAAAAATTTGTATGTTGAAATCCTAACCCCGAGGACCTCAGAATATGATCTTACTTGGAAATAGCACTGTTGCAGGTGTAATTAGATAATATGAAGTCACACTGGAACAGCGTGGACTTTCAATGCAATATAACTGATCTCATAATAAGGGGAAGTTCGGGCACAGAGACACACACACGCCCACACACACACAGAACAGAATGTGAAGATGAAGGCAGAGACTGGGGGGATGCATTTACAAGCCAGAGTACCAGAGATCACCAGCAAGCCACCAGAAGCTAGGGGACAGGCAGGAAAGAGCTTTCCTCTCACAGCCTTCAGAAGGAGCCGACCCTGCTGACACCTGATCTTAGACCTCTCGCCTTCAGAACTGCACGACAACAAGCATCTAATGTTAAAGCACTACATTTCACTTACTTTGTTATGGTGGAACATAACAGAACATTGCAGCAAGATAGAAAGAAAAAGGGAATTAGAAAGTCCCTAGGCAGCCGAAGTGCCTTAATGAGTGAAGGGGTAAACCTAAAGCGGCCAGCTGTGAGCACTTTGTGTTTTATCTTTAAGTCTGAAGTTGCATTCTCCTCAATAATTATAATTAAAAATTATTAAATTAACTCTACCCTATCCATTCTCAATTTTCCAAGTAAAACTGGCATTCTTACAGTATATACCATTTTTATGCGATGCTTCACGCATTGTTGGATATACTGCTTCATATCCCAGAGATTACAGGTGGCCCAGTTTACTTTATATGGAAATTGTAACACTAAAAACACTTGCTTTTATACTCCCGTTTATTAGAAGCCCAGAAGAGATATGAATAATTGCACAAATCTGAAAACCTCATACATACTAATAATAGCTTGTCTATAGCCATTTATCCTGGGGTTTGGGTGCTTTGGGGCTACCACGTGCCATGGATCAAAGGTCACTTACTGGTTAGCTGGACTCCGAGCTAAGAAAATAATGGCTTTTGCTATCAATTTCATTTATTCCTGAAAATAAATCATATTCTTTTTTCTGGGGAAGAAAAAAAAAACTGTGCTGCATATGCTTATATTCCTATCAAGGACACAGCGGGAAACAGCAATTACACTTTCTTTCCCCTACTGAAAATAACACAAAACAGCTGAGGAAGAAAAAAAATACAAAGAAAATGAAAACGAAAAGCTTCACGAACTGGCCCTGGTAACTATTAATTCAGCTCTGTTAATAAAAGAAAACACTTCTGACTTACCACACTGAAAAAAATAGGCTACAAAAAGGCTCTAGATTAAGAATGGAGAGGAAGAATAAATATTGTAAAATAACACCATGAGGCTTATCCATAAATGATGAAGCCAGGTAGCTCCCCTTAGGTATCATACAATCTCTGACCATGCGGTTCCACACATATAATACATTTCAGTAATTATGCTGTCATACAGTGACTTGTGGAGAAGGAAATAGCAAACCACTCCAGTAATCTTGCCCAGGAAATCCCATGGACGGAAGAGCCTGGTGGGCTACAGTCCTTGGGTTTGAAAAGAGTTGGACATGATTTAGCAACTAAAACAAAGTGACTTTTACAATTTTAATCAAAAACAATTCTGTGGGAAGCTAAGCTGTCAGTGTTCTACATCTTCCTTCCATAATTTAAGTTCAATACCTTCTATCTGTGGCATGTCACCATGAAGCTTGGCTTTGCTGGAGAAGGGTGCATTCTGTAGCACTAACGCAAAGAGAGATGGGATCAAGGACTGCAAGGCAGACAGACACATGTGGAGCTTATGTTCATCCAGCCTGTGCTCGCCTTCCTGAAACATAAGCAGGTGGAAGCTAATTTAGTCTCCTGAGAGTATGCATTTATGATACTCTTCCTTTCGGTGGCAAACAATAAAACATTTAAGGACATGTATGTGAGCCTCACAGTAAACCTAATGGAGATGACCAAGAATCTTTTCTGAATTGCTCTGAGTATGTGAAAATATGAAGAGCTAAAGCACTGTGGGGGCTTCCCTGGTGGCTGAGAAGGTAAAGAATCTGCCTGCAGTAAAGGAGATCCTGGGTGGATCCCTGGATCAGGAAGATCCCCTGGAGGAGGAAAAGGCAACTTACTCAGTATTCTTGCCTGGAGAATTCCATGGACAAAGGAGCCTGGTGGGCTGCAGTTCATGGGGTCACAGAGAGTCGGACACTACTGGTCGGCTAACATTTTAACTTTCGCGAGGCACTGTGGACATAATAGAATCTTTTGTATGGAAAACTTCACGGTCAACATCAATCATTTCATTTGTATGGAACTTCTTTCACAGGGTTTTTCTTTTAAAAGGGTCTTAACATTTGAAATTTTAGAGGTCAGGTTAAAGATATTAAAGTGATCAAAGGAATCATTTTAAATGCTCAACTGTTAAACCAGCAGTAGCACTTATTATTTTCTCTCTACTTCCAAACTCCCTTCATAGATTTGATGACAACTATACTTACCAGTATTTAATGCATTTTAAAATAATTCAATGTAAAACGCAAAAGAAATTTCAAAAGGAAACAAAAGAAAGAGATAACAGAAACAACCAAAAAGAGTAAAACGATCACTATGGTACACAGAAACCAAGTACTAAAGTGAAAACTAGAATCACTAGAGATAAAAGCATTTAATGCTGCTCAAATCCACTTGGGATGTCATTATATTATAAATAACAACTGTGTCAGAAATACCAGATATGTTTTTTTACTATCAAGTTCTAAATTAGTTAATTTCTTTATGGGCCATTACCTGTGCTGAATACTGCAGCTATGTTTAGTAGCAATGTGGAATTAGCTGTGTTATGGAATGGAACAAAGAAAACCCGGTATGGATAATTCTCAGATAGAAGGGATGCAAATATTGAAAAAAAAATACTTGAGAAAAATTCCCTAGGTTTCATAAAAAGAAGTACTCCAGTCTAGCTGTCTATTTATAGTCTTCAACATGCATTTTGAAATTTATAGGGAAAAAAGTCCAATTTTTAAATTAGATAAATGCACATATATACATGTAAGACATGTATATACAGAGTAGTATATATATATATTAAAATACTTTATGTTAAGAGTCTTATAAAGATTCTTAAAATTTGGGGGTAGAGAGGGCAACAGTGTAGTTTCAGAGGCTGATACCTGATCCTGGTCCTGCCATTTGACAGCTGTGGAAAGTTAAACAGTTTCCACACCAAAAAGCCAAAATATAATTCAAAGAGTTCTAAGAATGAATTAATAGATTTTATTTATAAAATATGGTATATAATGTGTACATAGTACACATGAAAGAAATGTTAGTTTTTCTCCTAGACACTGAGATTTTTAGTACAAAAATTAGTTTCGTTGTATCGACTTTTCTTCTGTTCTTAGGAAGAATGGAAAATTCATTTTAAAGAGTGAGGGCAGGAATGAATGCAGTGAAATAAAGTTAAAACATTTTGACATTGTGTAAATAAGAAAGCTTTGAAGACTCATATTTTAAGTTATCTCTGCATTCTGGGGACTGAAGCTGAATACTTTATCTAAAGTATTTAAGTATTCAGAAGAGGTTAGAAAGAGGCAGCATTAGGAACAGTGTCAGAGTAGGTGCCACAAAGGTGCTATTTTAGCTAACAAAGTCAGATCGTGCCCTTTCTCCTTAGCTTCAGTCAAGCAAAACTTCCTCAACTCTCTCTTGGCTCCAGACCAATAGAGATTTTAACGGGCAATTAATTAGAATGTTTAGCAAAGTGGTATTTTCTGTCTTTGTTTCCCCAACATTCTTTCAAGATGCCTTAAAACACACCTTTAAATTTTCTATTAACTGTATAAATAAAGGAAGCATTTACCCTGAGAAGTTTTTCAATCTCATTCAGCAATGTGGGTATAAGGTGAGACTGTAAATTTCCAAGTTCTGTAGTCCAGGCGGCAGTGGCTGGTAAAAATACTTGATGTGTGGCACTAACGACTCTTTCTGAGGGATCACCCAAGGCTGACAGCAACAGTTCAAAACCCTGCCAAAAGGAAACAGACAATGTGATTTAAAACAAAACAGAAGCCTCAAAGACACAATAAAATGTAATAAACATACATTCCAGTACATTTAGAAGACATTTTAAGCAAGAAAGAAGCCATTCATAAGCCTGCCTTCCCCAATTTCTTCAAAGAAAAATGTCATATATCCATTGATGGGGAAACCAGAGAGAAAATGGCAAGCTTGTTGCCAATTTCCTGCCACAAAGCTGTGGCAGATACTATAAATGAATCAAAGCATTTTCTCCTTGAAATTGCAAAATTGAAACCAGGCAGCCAACTTTAACTTGTTCAAGTTGACCCATTTGCCATCCATACTATAGATTATGGGGTATCTGAATCAGAGATTTGGGATATTACACCATTCAGAATTTTATAATGGAATAGATGGGATTTATTCTGAAAAGCATACCAGCTGATATTTGTCTGGGCCATCAATGTATCCCATAATGATACCAAAGCTTTTGATCACAGCTTCTCTTACCAAATCTGCCTTATCTTCCATTAACATTTGTTGCAACATTGAAAGAACCAAGGAGCTACTGATCTCTTTCTGAAATAAACAAGAACATGTTTTGCTATTTATTTAGAAAATAAATAGTAGAAAATAGAAAAAAAATAATACCAAGGAGCTACGGATCTCTTTCTGAAATAAACAAGAACATGTTTTACTATTTATTTAGAAAATAAATAGTAGAAAATAGAAAAAAAATAATAGCAGAAAATAGAAAAAAATGACAGATAGCTATGTATTCACAATCCAGATTAAATATATATTAACACGTTGCTATGTTTGCTGCAAGTCCTAATTTCTGAAAAACAGAAGACATTATAGACGCAGCAGAAGTGCATGCCTCTCTTCCACCCTCCCCCTTGCCCTAATTCTCCTCTCTAAAGATAACATTTACCCTGAACTTGGTATTAATCATCTCCCAGCATATTTTTGTATTTTTACTACGTATGTGCCAATCCCTGAAACCTTCACAGTGTGCTTTTGGCAAATCAACAGTCACCACTCCGCCATAAACAGATTCTTTTGTGTAAAAAGACTATACTTTCTATCACTACCTATGAAACTCAGAAAAGCACTGATAGTCATAAAAACAGGAGGGATTACAAAAATCACTCTGGTAATCAAAACATTTGCCTGGGGTAGGAGTATGGAAACTAAAATCCTGGTGTTGCTATTTTTTTTGAAGAACTGAGGGGAAAAAAAAACAGAATCATAAAACATGAGAGTAAACTTTAAAAGTGCTTACAAAACTGCATGGCTATTTTCAGATGCTACTATTAAATATAATGTCAACTACTATTGCGCCTTAAGTTTCATACAACCTTTACCCCATGGATTCAGCCTAATTAATGTCTGCGTTGGAATAAAGTGTCATTGTTTTCATATTCTTGCCCTTCCTTCCCTTTTTTGTACCATTATTGTAACTTGATCAATTTATAAAATTCTTTAAAACCTCAACTTGTTTATTTATCCCACACAAGGGATAAATAGATCATTGTACAGTGTGATTAATTCCAAGAAAGAAAAATTTTAAAGATACAAAAATGTAAGCTTGCATATGCATGAATTTTTATTTTCTCAAGTATTCATTAAAAACCATTAACCAAAAAAAACAGAACAAAACAAAACCATTAACCACAGATGTCTGTCTTTGGAGAGAATAACTAGGGCCAGGAAAGTCTTTGATTTTCATCTGTCTGAAAATTTATTTTCAACAACAACATTTCTGGGGGAGGAGACTATGAATTATTCTTGAATTATTCTTTGTATTTTTCTGTATAAAAAGAAAACTTTTTTTTTAAAAAAGACAATTGTCTGACTCTTGGGTTTCTCAGTCTTCACTTACCCTCACACTAAAGAATATGAGGTAACAGTAAATGTAACACATATAGCTCATGTACTGTTGAACAGTTCCAATTTTTGTACTCCTTTTAAAGAACAGTCTTATAGAAATGACCCTTCAAGGCAGGAGTCAGCCAGCTGGGCCAAAAAGTCTCTGCTGCAACTCCTCAACTCTGCTGTTGCAGTACAGAAGCAGACACAGACAAGTCACAAGAAATGGGTGTGGCTGCATGCCAATAAAACTTTATTTATAAAAACTGGCTGTGGATTCCATTTGGTCTCCAGACTGTACTTTGTCAAGCTCTGCTTTAAATTACCGTTGTTCAAAGGAAAATGACTCTTGATGTCACCTCTTGCTTCCATCCCCTGAAAGCCCTGGACCCATCAGGAGACACCTCAGGAGCACAGCGGGCCAGCGTGCTCAGTCTTCTTCCTGGCGGGAGGCCCTTGGTCATTTAGAAACTAACGAGCACCTCAAACAGCTTTTGTTTGGGTGGGGAATATCTCCTGACATTTATCATATCAGAAATTAAAAATGAGAAATTTCAAATTATTAACTCATTAAAAACAATAAACTTCTTAAAGGTTAACATGACTAGTGAAATTACAATTTTAATGGAAATAACTATAATCAAAAAAAACTAGTGAGAGGAATAGTGTTGCTTTATATTGTGTTGCAAATCTCAGTGATATCTGACTTAAAAGAAGACAGGTAGGATCATCTTATCTGCTCTGCCTTCAACTATATGTTGCTTGGGTGGAAGTAACTTAAGAAAACCTGGCCTCACAGAAACACGTAACTGAGAAAGGGAGAAGTGTCATCATAGCCTCTTCTGATAAGAATAGAAGCTGTCAAGCTCGGAATGGTGAATACAAGTTTTCCAAAATTCTTGTTCTCATTAGAAGTTCTAATTTTATCATTGGCAATGAAAACCGTCTACTTGTTTTCCTTGAAGCAAGGCTCCATGTCACTTATCTTCATGAAAATGTCTGCCACATACCAAGTTTGAATAATCACAGCTTGTTTTTCAGTGATCTATCAAGTAAAATTGGTGTCCCACGAGAAAAGCAGCTGGTTCAGCTCACAACTCAAACTATCTGAGTGCTTTCTTTCTGCAACAGCCATCATAGTTCAGAATGCAGCAAAAGGGCTTAATATCAGTATCTTCCAGCTGATTATACAGAATAGTAAAAAAGAGGCATACTTAGGGTCAAAATGTAGGAGAATTAATAATTTCACTGATTCACCAAGTTTATTTTTAAGTGAAGTTGACTTTCTGTGAGTGCACTGTAGTGAAGAATATGATCATTATCTCTCTATCTGGGAGTCACTGCTTTGATTAGCGCTAATGCACTGCCACCGTTGCCCATTACAAATTTTGCTTGTACCAACACTGTAACTGTCAACACAGAGAAAAAGACAAAAAATGTTTTAATATTATTATGAAAATTATTTTCATCTCATGGACCTCTTCGAAAGGATCAAGGAACTCCCCAGGGCCCTCCGACCAAACTTTGAGAATTCCTGATGAAGTTTAACATATTTATACTCATGTAAAATCAACGGCTAATGTTCCCCTCTGTCTGCAATGTCACATGGTATCGATCAATGTGAGCTTTCTTTATTCAGCTCAACCTCTTCCTTTGTTACGACAGAATGTGGATTAAAACGTATAAGACACCTGAAAAAAGGGTTTTTCTATTGCTAAAAAAAGAAAGAAAAGGTTTTTTTTTTTAAGAAAAATTACAATTCTTACAGGAAGGTAAGGTGCCAGCGTGCCACAAGATTCTGCCACAAGCAATCTTCTTTCTGGGTATTTGTGATTAATCTAGAGAAAAAATAAACAAATCAAACATAAACAACATATCCTCCCTTCCTCCAAAACAGAATTATTTTTCACCACAATGTTAGGAATGCAATAAAGCTTCTTTCTTTCCACTTCTGAGGATACCTATACCTGGATCAGGATTAAGGGACTCAGAGAGAGCCTAAAAAATGAGATCACGGGGGCTATCTGTTGAAGAGAAAGAGGATAAAGCAAAGATGAAAATATGGCAAGGTGTCTAGAGATTGTGGGCTTGCCCAAGACAGCTTTCCTTAGGATGTCAGGAGCAACCTTTTCCTTCCCTAGGAACATTATTATATTTTCAAATTTGGAAAATCCAGCTTCTAGGTATTTACTGATATGGCCTACAATATGTACCAGGAATGATCCTTCATTCCTCTTTTTTACCTCAAGGATTAAGTTGCAAATCATCAGTGATTTAACCAGAGCTCCTGACTGGTGTTATGACTTTGTTTTTAAAGTAAGCAATGTCAATTCATTCCTGCTTACATATGCAAGATCATGGGGTTTTACTATTCTAATGACTACACTGAATCATAACAAAAAATGACAAAAACAAAAAAAATGACATATACTGGGTTTTGTTCCCATATGTCTTCTTCATAGAATATAAATCTTTCTTTGACTGGAAAAGAAGTATATCTGTTCTCATATTCCCATATGAAAAGGTGACATAATTCATTAAAGTATTGGATGCCTAAAATTAAGAAAAGAAATTATGCAGCAATCTACTGGGCAACAAACTGGAGGCAGGCGGTTGACAGATCCCTGATGTCCATGTTTATTCGGGTTACAGAAGAAAGAGGTAGCGGGGGAGTTGTTGGTAACTGAGATCTCAGAGTTAGACTTAACCCAGAAACAGTAACCTCAAGACAAAATGGTTTGAATGTCATAATATGTTACACATAAACTCACACATTTCTTTAGTCTAGCAGGATGTCTCAAAATTAAATGTACATACAACAATCAACTGTATTCCTACATACTTTCAATGAACAACCAGAAAAATACAGAAAATTCTATTTACACAATAGTATTAAAAAGAATAAAATACTCAGGAATAAAATTTAAAAGTAGGTACATTATATTCTGAAGACTATAAAACATTACTGAAAGAAAATTTAAAAGACTTAAATAAACGGCGAAGTGAAGTGAAGTGAAAGTCGCTCAGTCGTGTCCGACTCTTTTCGACCCCATGGACTATACAGTCCATGGAATTCTCCAGGCCAGAATACTGGAGTAGGTAGCCTTTCCCTTGTTCAGGGGGTCTTCCCAATCCAGGGATCACGCCCAGTCTCCTGCATTGCAGGTGGATTCTTTACCAGCAGAGTAAAAAGCTTGGATTTTACTCTTCACAGTGATTCCAGGTGAAGAAATTCATGCATCATTGCCAAAACAAACGGAAAGACATCTTAAATTCATGGATTGAAAGGTTCACTATTGGAATGGCAACATTCTCCAGATTGATCTACAGATTCAAGGCAATCCTTACAATTTCAGCTGGCTTCTTTGCAGAAATTGACATGTTGATCTTAAAATTTACACAGAAATTAAAGGGACTCAGAATAGCCAAAACAACCTTGAAATACAAGAACAAGTTTAAGGGGTTGGGGCTTCTTTTGTGGGTGATAAAACTGTTCTAAAATTGACAGTAGTGATGGCTGTGTATCTCTGTAACTACTAAAAACCACTGCATTGTAGACTAAATAGGTGAGTTGTATGCTATCTGAATTACAATCTCAATAAAGCTTAAAAGATGGAAAAACAATTAAAAAAGACATGTACATATATAGAACTATAGAGAACTGTAAATTCAAAGTTGTGTATATTGTTTCCAACTTAACATGATTTTCAGTGATTAGAGTCTCACCCTAAATTAGTGTGCATTACAATTTACAGGTAACATAGGGACTGTGAGAGATAATATGAATAATATATAATGTTCCCTTTCAAAAGATTACTAAATTAGTAGATGACTCTACTAAATTTTAAAGAAAAAAGTGAATATCTGAAGAAAGTGGGAAGAGAATTCTCAAAGACCATATACTTTAGCAATATTCCGGAGAGTAATATTTTCTCTTAAGAACAAGTGACAGAGCAAATATAAATAAGGCCACGAAATCCGTCTTCATAAGTAAGAAATTCATCTTTTTAGGATGGAACAATGAGTTACTTAATGACCTAAATGTCAAGTGTACAAAGTCAAAGATCCTGAATTCTAGAGAAGACAGGAATATTCAATATAAAACCAAAAGTGTTGTTAGAAAATAGTGAGTTGAATTATAAATATACAGATTTCTTACATCAAAGGTTTACACTTTATATTCTGTATATATTTGTAATATATACAAGTATACAGTATATGCAGATACTATGTCTATTATTTACCTCCTTACTTATACATACACAGAACCTCTTGCTTTCCCTGAACTCACTAGTTTTTTTATATTTTTTTGTATTTTGTATCTCACTTGATTCAGAATAAAGCAAAACATCCCAGACGTTTCTTAAGCACTGTTAAATCACCGGGCTGGGCAACAGAAATAATAGCATAATTTATATCCCACATATTATTTCCTAGTAGCATTTTTAAAAGATAACATGAGCATTTACAATAACCTAGAATACAACAGCTAGAGAAAATCCAATACAGCTATTTACCGGTTCCCAGCAACATTGTGGTAAAAGTTCAGCTTCAACACGTGTGGGTCCAACATGACGTGCAAATGCCACACAGCCCGTCAGTATCATTTGCCTGAAAGACAGAATTAATGCATGTAGACTAGCATTTGCATTAGAAAGCACAACTAGGACTAAGGGTTAAAAGGAGTCAGCTCTAATTATCATGGAGTACAACTATTTTTGTACAATCAAATTTGACTTTTGACTTTTCCCAGTGGATAGGCTGCCCCAAGGGAGTAAGTTTCTTAAGACTAGTCCTTCCAGCAACGGCAACACCATTTGAGAGATGTTGTGAAGAGATTCTCTACTGCTGTAAAGCTGAATCTCCTAAATTAACTTCCCATATATATAACACATTCTGAGATTATGTTTAATGCTTCCATTTCTAATGAATTTCAGTTTCTAGTCACTAAATCAATCTATGATTATTTTCCCAGTATTCCTATAATTCCGTTTCCCAGGGGGCACAGTGGTAAAGAATCCACCTGCCAATGCAGCAGACCCAGATGACACAGGTTCAAACCCTGGACTGGCAACGTCCCCTGGAGAAGGAAATTGCAACCCAGTCCAATATTCTTGCCTGGAAAATTCCATGGACAGAGGAGCCTAGCCTACAGTCCATGGGGTTGCAAATAGTTGGACACGACTGAGCAGACAGATTTCTGTAATTAAAAACTATGATACCATATTAGTAAAATGATACTTGAGAATTTTTGGTATGGAACCCAAGATAACTGTGGTAGGCAGCTTCTGACATGATTCCTAACGAGGTCTGTCTCCTGATATTTATGCCTGTGTGTAATCCCATCTTGGTGAGTGTAGACTGGACCCAATGATTTGCTTTTAACAAACAGAATAATGGCCAAAGTGATGGGATGTCACTTATGAGATGAGGTTACAAAGGCCTGTGACATCCATCTCGTGAGACAGTCTTTTCTGCCTTCTCAGCTGGCATGCTCTGAAGACACTACCATGTTGAATGGTTTCATGTGGAGAGAAACTGAAGGCAACTTCTGGCTATAAGTCAGTGAAGGAGGAACCAAGGCCTGCAATCCAAAGATCCACGAGAAACTGAATCCCACCAATGACCAACCATGTGAATGAGCTCAGACGCAAATCCTTCCCCCATGGACCTTGAGGTGAATACAGCCACAGACAACACCTTGACTATAGCTTTATAAGAGACCCAGATGAACTGACTCACATAAATCATAATACAAGTGTTACTTTAAACCACTTTCTTTTGGGGTTATTTGTTATAAAACAATATATAATTAATCTGATAGTTTCATTTGATGATGGATTTATAGTTCAAAATTTTGAAAAAGATTTTTCACTTTTCAGAATGAAGGTACATTTAAAATGACTCTGAAAGTCAGAAGGATAAGTTTCTTTTTTTTTTAACTTCTGATTACCTATGACTTCAAAACCAGTAAAACTTGATGGAAAAAAAAAGCATGTTTTCCAGAGATATTTCAAAGTAGCCAACTTTAAGGAAAACCAAAACAGAATGTTTAATTCATATCAACTATAAAAGCAATGACTCATTGCTGTTTCTTAAAATATGTCAATTTAACTGAAAATTGAAGAGTGACTTTACGTTTCTACTTAGTCTATCCAAGTCAGCTACAACTGTTCTCTCAGGCTGAGGAGAACAATGACAGACAATTAAGTATATGGGCGGTAGGAAAATGTTGAGCCAATATGTCTTCACTGTATATGGCAGCTTCCTTTCACCATAACCTTGTAATTTTTATCTACATGATTTCCCTTTATACTTATGTCATTGTCTTCTCTGATGGCTTCTCAATTTTTCTTTTTCTATTTTCTCCTACTTTAGGAAGGCAAATAAAGTGAATAAAAGACAAACGGAAAAAGAAATTCCCAGGCTTTAAGATAGACATTTAGCTTCCCACTAAAAATTTCTTCATTTCTGATCATTTCTACCACTACTAAAATAATGAGAAGTCACATACATAGGTTTCAGAAATATTTGATAATTATAATAAATGAACTGTTGAAATTTAAGCATTTTGAACAAATGTAAGAAGTATATACTTGTATAAGATGTTCATGTGAAATAACTTTAAATCATGAGTCACCATCACTATATTAAACATGTACAAATTTGTTCAAAAAATGTTAAGCCCCTCAAAATAAACTTCCTAGTCAGCAGAATTAAGAGTCACAATTGTAAAAAGTAGGTCAGTTTTGAAATATACTTGAAAACAGAAAAGATCAGATGGCTACACATTATTAATAGCATTGGAAACAGACTCCTATGATAATAAAAATACTATTTCTACTTGTGGGAAATCATAAATACTGTTCCTACTTGTGAAATTATTTGACTGGTATTTGACACAATGGGCTTCCCTTGTGGCTCAGCTGGTGAAGAATCCTCCTGCAATGCAGGAGACCTGGGTTCGATCCTTGGGTTGGAAAGATCCCCTGGAGAAGGGAAAGGCATTCCAGTATTCTGGCCTGGAGAAATTCCGTGGGCTATAGTTCCAATACTTTGGCCACCTGATGGAAAGAAGTGACTCACTGGAAAAGATCCTGATGCTGGGAAAGATTGAAGGCGGGAGGAGAAGGGGACGACAGAGGATGAGATGGTTGGATGGCAGCACCGACTCGATGGACATGAGTTTGGGTAAACTCTGGGAGTTGGTGATGGACAGGGAGGGCTGGCGTGCTGCAGTCCACAGGGTCACAAACAGCAGGACACGACTGAGCTACTGAACTGACACAATAGGTGGAAATATGGTGTTAGTTATGGCTGCTAGCAAAGAATTATCAAAAACGCAATACAGCTGACCATAAACTTGGACAGTCACACAAGGAAGCTTGTGATTCAGTAAGTAAAGAAAAGTAATAACTGATTATATGTCAAACTTATGCTAATTTAAAATTTTTGGTTTAATTTTTATTCATATCAAATATAGTTAACAGTTTAGCTTATTTAAATAAATAACTTTATTTCTGAAAAGTGGAAGATCAACTGCGAATATGCGTGTTTAAATCCTGATGTATCTTGACCTGAAGTCACGCCGATAGGTACTTTTGGCCACCAGGTAGCAGCTGTTAGCTTTACATGCGGTCTGTAAAAGCGGGCTATGTAAATTGAGATTTTTGCCTTGCACTCTAAAAATGACAATGTAATAAGTAGTATTTAATTATTAATTAAGTTTCCAAGATAGGTATTCATTTTCCTATATAGCACCATCAAATTGTCCTCAGAAAATTTTCAGTTTGCAAAGATTGGAACCTGATTGAATTTCCCTTACTTCTATTCAGCTAGCATGTAGATTAATCTTGACTGGATCCTGAAAAAAACATGTCTCTCTGCTTGCTCAGGTATATTTTAATAAGGGTAGGAAAGAGATACCTGTTCACAGAGTTTAAAAGTCTACATGACTTTTTATTCTCATGGTGGAGAGATTCCTTGTGTTTTAAATTTTGGGCTTGATTTGTCTTACGGTTCACTTTATGATTTTCCAACATTCTCAGAAGAGGTAAAAACTCTAACAATCAGTAAAACAAGAACTAAAATTATATCAAGTTACCTAATCTTAATGTACAATTCTATTGTTTTGCGAATGTATAAGCAAAAGTTATCTGCTTATTAAGATAGAAAACTGCAATGTGGAAACATTTCAACAGCTCAGTCTTGTCCAACTGGTGCTTAGTCTGCTTACCCTCCACTAGGATATTCTGTTCACGTTCACACTTGCACAGCTTCTCCTAGTATTTAAAAGTCTACTTTCTGGGGAGACATCTATCATGGTTGCCTGAGCAAAAAACCCATTCCCCTTTCTTCCAGAAGTCTCTTGGGTATGTGTCTTGTCCCCCTGCCTCCACCACTCTCATGCCCCTCAACACCCCCAAGTACAAGTCATTTCTCCACTCAGGCATCCTTGACTGTGGGTGGTTTGAATCAGGACTAACCAAAACATTGTATCCCTCTAACCATACAGAAACTGCTTTACGGACAGCTTGGTGATGCAGACATTCCTATGTTAAATATTTTATTTCTGGTAAAGCATAACTATTAAGAGGCCATGCTGTATCTAGTTCATCTGTGGGGGGGAAAGGGAAATATTTAGGAGTTCTTAGAAATCAAATGTGAAAGATAAAAGCAAAGACTTAATGGAATAATTAACAGTCCTAAGATAACAAACACAAAACTGCAGAAGTTCAACATAAGTGGTTGGAATGACAAGAAGGAAAACACTGTAGGGCTTTCATTGTGAACAAGATCAGTGTTTCCTTTATTAAAAAAGACCTTAGAAAGAAAAGATGGCATTAAGATAAAAAAAGGTAGTCATGATGCCAAATTAATAAAATGAGCAAGTCAACATTATATTTACTTCCCAAAGAAGCAGTCATATTCACCTCTGCTCATCATCTGGCCTCTTGATCAAATTGAAAAGTATGTGGAGAAGCTGGTCTCTCTCCTTAGGCTCAGGATGCAGGCAGGCTGTACACAATATGAGGGGGATCAACTCCTAAAGAAACACGAAGGTGGAAAAAGTCAAAGTAAAAATGCATTGCAGAATATTCTTTTACCCCCAAAGTATTCATAAATGGAAGTTTTAAATGAAATAAACCTCAACAGAGAGAGGAGCAAATTTTTATTTTGTAAGGCTGATAATTCAAGAGAAAAACATAAACACAGTTATGGAGAGATTGTGCAGAGATTGTGCATCACAATGCAGTAAAGTAACTTACGATTGAACTAACCTTGTTTTCTCATCCAATACTTCCCAAAGGTCTATTACCTTTTACACTAAGTAACATTTTATCTTACTATAAGCTGATATAGTAGTTTAAATTTTGAAAGTGCTTTTAAATAAAAACTTGCAGAAGTTAACTATATTTTAAAACCTAAAATGAAAAACAGAAAATAAAGATAACTCTTCATACTTCCATAAGCACAGCAGGATCAGAAATAATTAATAATTTTATACCCTTAGCACCTAACCTAGTGGCCAATTAAAAAGACCATCTTCACAGGTGTTGAAAGCTCCCCATAAAAGCACTTGCAGAAATGTTCTATTCTGAAATGAAAATTTTAAATATTTTCTTCCACTTTCAACATACAGAGGTAAATTTAGTATTTCCAAGGAAACAGACAAGAGTTTATTTCTCTTTTACAAAGTATTTGAAAATTAAAGCTTTTTCACATTTTAATTAAACCGAGTTAAAATCCTAAAATACATTTAAAAGATATTAATGTTTTTCACTTTTGAAGTAGATTTGCAAATCTAATGAAATAAAAGTTCAAAAGTGATAAAGTATTTTTGGAGAGAAATCCTCTAAATTATTTTGCACATATTTTAAAGAAATCACTATGATATAATAAAAAGGGTAGAATGATTATTCTCATTTATTTTTCCCATCTACCTCCCTTCCCACCAAAAAGTACTAGCAGATTTAAAATAGGAATCAATCACTATGTACTAATGCATGACACTTTGAAGAAAAGTCTACATTATTCTGAAGATCCTCCCTTAGAAACAGATGATATGCTTTTAGAGAAGTTGAGACTGAAACTAAGGCATGACTAGAAGTCCTTTCCATTATTTCTAATGTCTTACATATATTATGTTAAAATTATAATTACGTGATATAAACCTAAATTCAAAGCACAAAGATGTAGATAAGAAGAGGAAAAGCAAATCTGAGAAGCAAAAACAAATTTAAAACACTTATTCTAGAAGAGGAAATGGCAACCCACTCCAGTATTCTTGCCTGGAAAATCCCATGGACAGAGGAGCCTGGTAGACTACAGTTCATGGGGTCGCAGACTAAGCAAATATACTTCACTGGCTGAACTTATCTTTAAGATTAAGAACTGGGAGAAGTGATTTGCAACATATATAATCCACAAAGAGTGGAAAGAAGAAAATCTATAAATAATAAGAGAAACTTATTAGAAAAATGGGCAGTAAACAAGCAGACACTTCACAGAAGTAGAAACACAAATACAAAATTAGAAAAGGCACTCTACTCTCATTAGTAATCAGAAAAATGTAAATCAAACCATGAGGTTCCATTTTAAATGTACCAAACAGACAAAATTTAAAAAGCAAACAATACGAAGTGCTGACACAAAGGGAATCTTTAATACACTATCAGTTAGTTTAAATTAATATGACTACTTTGGAAAATAATTTGTCTGGCAGAAAACAACTTATGTAGCAAAAAAAAAAAAATCTAGGAAAATGAAAATCCACATGACCTATCAGTTTCCACTCCAAAGACTACTCTAGAGAGAGTTTTGCACTTACATATTCACCAAGTGACATGTATAAACGTATTTAGAACATCATTGTTTTTAACAGCAAAGAAAAGGAAAACTAGAAATAATTCCAATTTTTACCAAGAAGAGAAATGAATTACCAAATGTTCAAAAAAGAGAAATGAATGAACTACAACCACAGGCATCAATATGAATAAATCTAAAATTAAAAGTGAACAAACCAAGTCTCAGAAAATATGACATGCTTTCTTTCATACAAATGTCCAAAACATGCAAATGTAAGCTATATATTATATGAAAACATACAAGGTAAAGCTATTATAAAAAAAAGTAAGGAAATGCTAAGTACAAAATTCAAGACTATAGATATCCCTGGGAGCAGTGGAGGAAGAGGGATACAATTGGAAATAACCACATTGGATGCTTTCTTAGGTACTGAACATTCATATATTGATATATACATCACTGAAGTAGTAACAATTTTTAAAAATTCCTACTTGACAAGTAACTTCAATATACCAATCTACAGAACAGCAGTGATGACCTTGGCACTTGCCTAAAATCATATGCAAAATATGAAGACAAATGTATGTATATGTATAACTGAATCACTTTGCTATACAACAGAATTTAACATTGTAAACCAATACGTCAATAAAATTTTAAAATAAAAAAAAAAAAAAAAAACACTTATTCTGCCATCTTTCAATGGCAACTCACTCCAGTATTCGTTCTTGCCTGAAGAATCCCAGGGACGGGGGAGCCTCGCAGGCTGACGTCTATGGGGTCGCACAGAGTCAGACATGACTGAAGTAACTTAGTAGTAGTAGTAGTAGTAGTAGTAGGTTTTAGACTAGTGAATAACTGAAAAGTGGGGAAAGTAATTTTGCACTGGGAATGGAACAGTATATGTACGGATCCTTGTATTTTGATGTTTTCCAAAGATGCTTACTATGAGGCTTGATGGGTGAGGACCATTAATACCAAGGATCCTTAGAGAATTCCACTGAGATTGCTAAGGGCCAGTGATACTAATGAGAGGACTAGGATGACACATAAGCATATTCCACTGAGAGTAAAAGTTTAAGGATTAAAAGGTAGTTATTCAAGAAAGTACTAACAAAAAGAGAAAATATTTTAATGCCTGAAAAATCAAAAAGGCCGTAAATATTTCACTTGTACTTTTCCCTCATGGCTGATCTTTCTCTCCCATGGGTTTTCTTGCTTTCTTCCAACCCTTCTCCCTGCTTCCCAGTCATCTCCAAATATTCACTCTTAAACTATCTCACTCTACTCTTCCTATTGCATTACTCTTTAAAGAAATAAACTTATGAAGTGTAGGTAAGATATCTGCTCTAACTGCAAGTACATGCATACACCCTCTGTTTAAAATACAGAATAATAATTCGTTTCTTTATCTCAAAAACAGGTATACCAAGATAACTGTGTTACTGTTTACTTTTTGTGCCTTAAGTTTTCTTTTCCTTTTTTTTCAAACCATGAGGCTTAGTGATTCTTAGTCAAAGAGGAATTTTACGTTATACATTACTGTAATGAATCTTTTAACTGGAATGTGGCTACAGATGTGCCAAATCAAGAACGCTAAACTCGGAGTTCGAAGACCTCCTGTCTCAAAACTCCTAAGTGCCTAAGAACCCACTGAAAACTGTGAACCTCTCTGAGTTTTTGTTTCCTCAACTGAACATACAGGAATTAAGCTGAGCACAGAAATCAAAAATACATATATTTTATCATTTTCTTACCTATTGCTAATAAGATTGTTAATTTTCCTTTCTGAGATCAAAGCTGGCCTCAAAACCCTTGTCAACACAGGAGCCATTACCGACCAATCCAAACAGACACACAGGAAAGGAAAAAAAAAGGCAGTCCTTGTCTCCCTGAACTCTAAAATTCTGTGCATTTAGGACTTTAGAGAATGTTTTTCCACTTTTCTCAATCAGTTAGTAATAATTTACACTGCCATCTGTTTTTATTTCTTGCTGGCTAAAATAGCAAATGTGGGAAGTCAGCGCCAATACACTTTGGTTGATACTCCACGCCAAGGAGATCTGGGGACATCCCGGCACCTTGATGGCTGTGCCATCATAACGCGTGCCAGGGGGCTTCCTCTTCCTGAGCATCGCTGAGCTGAGAAGAGGTCCAGAAGGTGATGGCAGGAAAAAGTGGAGGCTGTAGTCTGCGACAGGGCCGTCAGGACTTTAATTGCCAAGTTGTGAACAACTTCAAATATCCTAATTTCCTCTTCCTCTATCATTCATTTAATCACAACTTCTATTTATACCACTCTTCAAATAATGAATTCTGTAAGTACATTATCTGCTGTGCGGCATATCTTACTTCTTGTAAAGTTACCTTTTTCAAGCGTCTGACGTACTAGTTTATCCTCAAGACTCTATTTAGGATTTCACACTACAGTTGACCCTTAAACAACACAGGTTTGAACTGTGCTGTGGGTCCACTTATATGAAGCGTGTGTGTGCTTAGTCACTCAGTTGTGTCTGACTCTTTGCAACCCCACAGACTATAGCCCGCCAGGCTCCCTTGTCCATGGGGATCCTCCAGGCAAGAATAGTTGAGTGGGTTGCCATGCTCTCCTCCAAGAGATCTTCCCAACCCAGGGATCGAACCCAGGTCTCCTGCATTGCAGGCGGATTCTTTACTGTCTGAGCCACCAGGAAAGCCCAAGAATACTGGAGTGCATAGCCTATCCCTTCTTCAGGGGATCTTCCTGACCCAGGAATTGAACCAGGGTCTCCTTCATTGCAGGCAGATTCTTTACCAGCTGAGCTACCAGGGAAGCCCACTTATATGCAGATTTTACCCCATAAACATGTACTACATTACTACACGGATCTGTGGTTGGCTGAATGTAAAGTTATACTTGGATACTGAACTGTGCGGTGGTCAGCACACATAATCTGTGCACTGTTCAAGGAAGGGTCAATGGTATGCATAAATGTATAGATTTGAATCAATATTGTCCCATTGGTATCATCATCTCCAACTGAAGAAATCTAGTGTTTAAAATAGTTTCCAAAAAAATAAATAAATAAAATAAAAGTTTGCTTATAATTCGAAATAAAATATTTAAAACCTGGTGTCTAGATTTTCAGAAGAAAATGTGACAGTGGTTTTAAAAATGTCTTTGAATAATAACCATGGTGAAATAATAAAGCTTTGATAAACATGATATCCAAAAGGAATCCCTTACCTACCCTGCAT